CTCCCGCCCCGTACAGTGACCTCCCGCCCCGTACTGTGACCTCCCGCCCCCGTACTGTGACCTGCCGCCCAGTACTGTGATCTCCCGCCCGTACAGTGACCTCCCGCCCCGTACTGTGACCTCCCGCCCCCGTACTGTGACCTCCCGCCCCGTACTGTGACCTCCCGCCCCCGTACTGTGACCTCCCGCCCCCGTACTGTGACCTGCCGCCCCCGTACTGTGACCTCCCGCCCCCGTACTGTGACCTCCCGCCCCCGTACTGTGACCTCCCGCCCCGTACTGTGACCTCCCGCCCCGTACAGTGACCTCCCGCCCCCGTACTGTGACCTCCCGCCCCCGTACTGTGACCTCCCGGCCCCCGTACTGTGACCACCCGCCCCGTACTGTGACCTGCCGCCCCGTACTGTGACCACCCGCCCCCGTACTGTGACCTCCCGCCCCCGTACTGTGACCTCCCGCCCCCGTACTGTGACCTCCCGGCCCCCGTACTGTGACCACCCGCCCCGTACTGTGACCTGCCGCCCCGTACTGTGACCACCCGCCCCCGTACTGTGACCTCCCGCCCCCGTACTGTGACCTCCCGGCCCCCGTACTGTGACCACCCGCCCCGTACTGTGACCTGCCGCCCCGTACTGTGACCACCCGCCCCCGTACTGTGACCTCCCGCCCCGTACTGTGACCTCCCGCCCCGTACTGTGACCTCCCGCCCCCGTACTGTGACCTCCCGCCCCCGTACTGTGACCACCCGCCCCCGTACCGTGAGCACAGTGCCATCTCTGGGGGTCACGTCTGGTGTGTGGCACTCCGCGGGTTGGTGCCATTAACCTCAGTATTGGAAGTCTGCTGTGGTATAAACTGCCTTAGTGGTAGTTACCCGTGAGACCCCGAGGGCCGTGTACTCGCCCTGTTGTGGGTTGAGCTCTGGCTCTTTGGTCCCGCCTCTCAACTGTCAATCAGCTGACATACAGGTTCCTGAGCCTATTGGGCTCTATCATATCTACACTTGAAGCTGTGTATGGAGTCAGCCTCCACCACATCACTGCCTAATGCATTCCATCCGTTAACTACTCTGACATTGAAAAAATTCTTTCTAACGTCTCTATGGCTCATTTGGGTACTCAATTTCCACCTGTGTACCCTAGTGCGTGTGTCCCTTGTGTTTAATAGTCTGTCCTTATCTACCCTATCAATTCCTCTGAGAATCTTGTATGTGGTGATCATGTCTCCCGGTGACGTGAGGTTTAATTCCCGTAGTCTCTCCTCGTAGCTCATACGTGTGTGTGTGTGTGTGTGTGTGTGTGTGTGTGTGTGTGTGTGTGTGTGTGTGTGTGTGTGTGTGTGTGTGTGTGTGTGAGGTGGGTGCCGGTGGCGGCTAGTGACACCGCAGTAATAGGGGTGTCACTCTCGGCTGTTTCCCCCCCCCCACTCTTACCCCCCCCCCCCCCACTCTTACCCCCCCCCCCCCCACCCCCTCCACGCCTCTGCCGCCGCAGTAGCAGCACCACCAAGCAACAACAGCAGCAGCAGCAGCAGCACCACCACCACCAACCACCACCAGCACCAGCAGCTGAAGCAACAGCAGCAGCAGCACCACCAAGCAACAGCAGCAGCAGCACCACCAAGCAACAGCAGCAGCAGCAGCACCAGCAGCTGAAGCAACAGCAGCAGCCACAAGCAAGGAGAACAATTACACAAACAGGTTACAAGCAGCACCATAAAGGAAACTTTAAAACAATAAAGTGCCATTTCAACACGTAAATAAGGATCTTTCAAGACACTACACAACCCGCGTCAGACCATTACTGCAGCGCCAGCTTACAATCCCCAGCTTGTAAAGCGTTAAACAAAACCTGGAAAGTGCAGAGATTTGCAAAAATATTAATGCCAGAGTTATCTTAACTAGATGTCTTAAGGCTATGGGGGGATAAGCAACAAGGAGATATGATCTCAACATACAAGATACTAAGGGGAATAGACAAGGATAGCTTCTTTAAAATGAGGACAAGTAAGACGAGGGGAATGCAGTGAAAGTAGTTGTGGAAGCCATCTCCATCCACACATTTAAGGTCAGATTCGACAAAGAATTCGGACATGAGACTAGTTAAATTATAATGCTCTAGGTACAACCAAGGGTAGCAGGTTGGGCGTGCAGAGCTAGAGCTCGCTCCCTCGTAGTCGCTGCTAGGCTGTGAGTTAAGCACAACTGCTGCCCCCATATACCCATCACCGGTACACTCCCCCGCCCTTGTACACATGTGATCCATATCCACTACCTTCCAACACTGGCAGAGTTACAGATCTGGGCCACGACTGGTACACCCACTCAACACTCGTGACACACCCTGGTCTCCGTTACTGATACAAGTGTTACTAGTTGTAGCACTACATTCTTATATATGGTTGAAATGCCTTCACTGGACCATTGTTGGCAGCTGGACCCAACCCTGAGGTCCAGGTCCCGCCCGAGTGCCTGCACGGCTCTACGGAAATTTCGTCAATCCCGTGTGTGTGTGTAGTTCCATAGGGGTGGCTTGCTCTGATGACTTCTCCTTCAGTAGACAAGCCCTTGTGACCGAGCTTGCTTACTCACCACCACCACCACCTTACCAACCACCACTACCACCTCCTCAATAACAACAACAACCATTCCTCCTCCTCCTCCTCCTAGTCCTCCTCCGGTGGTATTTTCTAAGATGAGTTTAGAGAACACTTTAATTTCGATGTTGTAGTAGTACAACTTTTGTAATGTTACGGTGGCTAAGTAGAAGACTTTGTGCGACCAGCACTCTGGCCGGACCTCGTCCTCATCTCTTGATGTCCACACCATGCCTCGCTATGTGTTATCTTACCACACCACGCCTCGCTATGTGTTATCTTACCATGCCTCGCTATGTGTTATCTTACCACACCATGCCTCGCTATGTGTTATCTTACCACACCATGCCTGGCCACGTGTTATCTTACCATGCCTCGCTATGTGTTATCTTGCCACACCATGCCTCGCTATGTGTTATCTTGCCACACCATGCCTGGCCACGTGTTATCTTACCATGCCTCGCTATGTGTTATCTTACCACACCATGCCTCGCCATGTGTTATCTTGCCACACCATGCCTGGCCACGTGTTATCTTACCATGCCTCGCTATGTGTTATCTTACCACACCATGCCTCGCTATGTGTTATCTTACCATGCCTGGCCACGTGTTATCTTACCATGCCTCGCTATGTGTTATCTTACCACACCATGCCTCGCTATGTGTTATCTTGCCACACCATGCCTGGCCACGTGTTATCTTACCATGCCTCGCTATGTGTTATCTTACCACACCATGCCTCACTATGTGTTATCTTGCCACACCATGCCTGGCCACGTGTTATCTTACCATGCCTCGCTATGTGTTATCTTACCACACCATGCCTCGCTATGTGTTATCTTGCCACACCATGCCTGGCCACGTGTTATCTTACCATGCCTCGCTATGTGTTATCTTACCACACCATGCCTCGCTATGTGTTATCTTACCATGCCTGGCCACGTGTTATCTTACCATGCCTCGCTATGTGTTATCTTACCACACCATGCCTCGCTATGTGTTATCTTACCACACCATGCCTGGCCACGTGTTATTTTACCATGCCTCGCTATGTGTTATCTTGCCACACCATGCCTCGCTATGTGTTATCTTGCCACACCATGCCTGGCCACGTGTTATCTTACCATGCCTCGCTATGTGTTATCTTGCCACACCATGCCTCGCTATGTGTTATCTTGCCACACCATGCCTGGCCACGTGTTATCTTACCATGCCTCGCTATGTGTTATCTTGCCACACCATGCCTCGCTATGTGTTATCTTGCCACACCATGCCTGGCCACGTGTTATCTTACCATGCCTCGCTATGTGTTATCTTACCACACCATGCCTCGCTATGTGTTATCTTGCCACACCATGCCTGGCCACGTGTTATCTTACCATGCCTCGCTATGTGTTATCTTACCACACCATGCCTCGCTATGTGTTATCTTGCCACACCATGCCTGGCCACGTGTTATCTTACCATGCCTCGCTATGTGTTATCTTACCACACCATGCCTCGCTATGTGTTATCTTGCCACACCATGCCTGGCCACGTGTTATCTTACCATGCCTCGCTATGTGTTATCTTACCACTCCATGCCTCGCTATGTGTTATCTTACCACACCATGCCTGGCCACGTGTTATCTTACCACACCATGCCTCGCCCCGTGTTATCTTACCACACCATGCCTCGCCACGTGTTATCTTACCACACCATGCCTCGCCCCGTGTTATCTTACCACACCATGCCTCGCCACGTGTTATCTTACCACACCATGCCTCGCCCCGTGTTATCTTACCACACCATGCCTGGCCACGTGTTATCTTGCCACACCATGCCTCGCCCCGTGTTATCTTACCACACCATGCCTCGCCCCGTGTTATCTTACCACACCATGCCTCGCCACGTGTTATCTTACCACACCATGCCTCGCCCCGTGTTATCTTACCACACCATGCCTCGCCACGTGTTATCTTACCACACCATGCCTCGCCCCGTGTTATCTTACCACACCATGCCTGGCCCCGTGTTATCTTACCACACCATGCCTCGCCACGTGTTATCTTACCACACCATGCCTCGCCCCGTGTTATCTTACCACACCATGCCTCGCCACGTGTTATCTTACCACACCATGCCTCGCCCCGTGTTATCTTACCACACCATGCCTGGCCACGTGTTATCTTGCCACACCATGCCTCGCCCCGTGTTATCTTGCCACACCATGCCTCGCCCCGTGTTATCTTACCACACCATGCCTCGCCCCGTGTTATCTTACCACACCATGCCTGGCCACGTGTTATCTTGCCACACCATGCCTCGCCCCGTGTTATCTTGCCACACCATGCCTCGCCCCGTGTTATCTTGCCACACCATGCCTCGCCCCGTGTTATCTTACCACACCATGCCTCGCCCCGTGTTATCTTACCACACCTGCGGGTGTTGGGTTGGCGAGACCTGCAGGTGTTGGGTTGGCGAGACCTGCAGATGTTGGGTTGGCGAGACCTGCAGATGTTGGGTTGGCGAGACCTGCAGATGTTGGGTTGGCGAGACCTGCAGATGTTGGGTTGGCGAGACCTGCAGGTGTTGGGTTGGCGAGACCTGCAGGTGTTGGGTTGGCGAGACTGCAGGTGTTGGGTTGGCGAGACTGCAGATGTTGGGTTGGCGAGACCTGCAGATGTTGGGTTGGCGAGACCTGCAGATGTTGGGTTGGCGAGACCTGCAGGTGTTGGGTTGGCGAGACCTGCAGGTGTTGGGTTGGCGAGACCTGCAGATGTTGGGTTGGCGAGACCTGCAGGTGTTGGGTTGGCGAGACCTGCAGATGTTGGGTTGGCGAGACCTGCAGGTGTTGGGTTGGCGAGACCTGCAGATGTTGGGTTGGCGAGACCTGCAGATGTTGGGTTGGCGAGACCTGCAGGTGTTGGGTTGGCGAGACCTGCAGGTGTTGGGTTGGCGAGACCTGCAGGTGTTGGGTTGGCGAGACCTGCAGATGTTGGGTTGGCGAGACTGCAGATGTTGGGTTGGCGAGACCTGCAGATGTTGGGTTGGCGAGACCTGCAGGTGTTGGGTTGGCGAGACCTGCAGGTGTTGGGTTGGCGAGACCTGCAGGTGTTGGGTTGGCGAGACCTGCAGATGTTGGGTTGGCGAGACTGCAGATGTTGGGTTGGCGAGACCTGCAGATGTTGGGTTGGCGAGACCTGCAGGTGTTGGGTTGGCGAGACCTGCAGGTGTTGGGTTGGCGAGACTGCAGATGTTGGGTTGACGAGACTGCAGATGTTGGGTTGGCGAGACCTGCAGATGTTGGGTTGGCGAGACCTGCAGATGTTGGGTTGGCGAGACCTGCAGATGTTGGGTTGGCGAGACCTGCAGATGTTGGGTTGGCGAGACCTGCAGATGTTGGGTTGGCGAGACCTGCAGGTGTTGGGTTGGCGAGACCTGCAGGTGTTGGGTTGGCGAGACCTGCAGATGTTGGGTTGGCGAGACCTGCAGATGTTGGGTTGGCGAGACTGCAGGTGTTGGGTTGGCGAGACCTGCAGATGTTGGGTTGGCGAGACCTGCAGGTGTTGGGTTGGCGAGACCTGCAGATGTTGGGTTGGCGAGACCTGCAGGTGTTGGGTTGGCGAGACCTGCAAGTGTTGGGTTGGCGAGACTGCAGGTGTTGGGTTGGCGAGACTGCAGGTGTTGGGTTGGCGAGACCTGCAGGTGTTGGGTTGGCGAGACCTGCAGATGTTGGGTTGGCGAGACCTGCAGATGTTGGGTTGGCGAGACCTGCAGATGTTGGGTTGGCGAGACTGCAGGTGTTGGGTTGGCGAGACCTGCAGATGTTGGGTTGGCGAGACCTGCAGATGTTGGGTTGGCGAGACCTGCAGATGTGGTGGTGCGGTTGAGTGACAACATCTGGTCGAGGACACATCACGGGGGGGGGGGGTAGAGGACACTGCGACACAGGAGTGTGGCGCAGCGACACAGAGGAGTGTGGCGCAGGAGTAAATGAAACCTGGCTGGAGAGGTCCGTAGACTGTGGCGACCCTTCGCCGGGCTGTTGATCCTGGACACTGTGTGGTAGTTAACACTGCCGTGCCCCTTGATATTGGCTCGCTTGTTGTTGGGCCCCCCTGGTCCCTTTGTTGGCCCCTGGTCCCTTTGTTGGTCCCCTGGTCCCTTTGTTGGTCCCCTGTTTCCCTTTGTTGGTCCCCTGGTCCCTTTGTTGGCCCCCTGGTCCCTTTGTTGGTCCCCTGGTCCCTTTGTTGGCCCCCTGGTCCCTTTGTTGGTCCCCTGGTCCCTTTGTTGGCCCCCTGGTCCCTTTGTTGGCCCCTGGTCCCTTTGTTGGTCCCCTGGTCCCTTTGTTGGTCCCCTGGTCCCTTTGTTGGCCCCCTGGTCCCTTTGTTGGCCCCCTGGGCCTTTTGTTGGCCCCCTGGGCCCTTTGTTGGCCCCCTGGGCCCTTTGTTGGCCCCCTGGTCCCTTTGTTGGCCCCCTGGGCCTTTTGTTGGCCCCCTGGGCCCTTTGTTGCCCCCCCTGGGCCCTTTGTTGGCCCAACAAGGATAGCTTAACACTGTGGCTAGTGGTGGTGTGACAGTCGTGAGGATGCTCCTGGCGTCTACAATCACAGTTACTGGTCCTATTGCTACCATTCTCCAGGCTCGGCTGACTGGGGTCTGCGTACCAGGGTTCGATACTGTCTGGGCAGCCGTAACCTGTGCGGTCACGTGGCCCAGCCTTGCCCCTCAGGGCTCAGCCTTGCCCCCCTTGGTGACGGCATATATCACTAGATACCACGCTGCTGTGAGGGGGTCGGTGCCCTCTTGGCGGGAGGGCGGAGCACTCCCTCCCACCGCTTGTGGAAGGGGGCGCCTCGCTCCGTCTCCCTCTCTCTCTGGCACCCCTTCCTCATTCCCTCTAGCTCCTCTCCCTACAGGCCTCCTGTACCCCTCCCTGTACCCCCTACACCCCTCCCTGTACCCCCTAAACCCCTCCCAGTACCCCCTCCACCCCTCCCTGTACACCCTCCACCCCTCCCAGTACACCCTCCACCCCTCCCTGTACACCCTCCACCCCTCCCAGTACACCCTCCACCCCTCCCAGTACCCCCTCCACCCCTCCCAGTACCCCCTCCACCCCTCCCAGTACCCCCTCCACCCCTCCCAGTACACCCTCCACCCCTCCCAGTACACCCTCCACCCCTCCCAGTACCCCCTCCACCCCTCCCAGTACCCCCTCCACCCCTCCCAGTACACCCTCCACCCCTCCCAGTACCCCCTCCACCCCTCCCAGTACACCCTCCACCCCTCCCAGTACACCCTCCACCCCTCCCAGTACCCCCTCCACCCCTCCCAGTACCCCCTCCACCCCTCCCAGTACCCCCTCCACCCCTCCCAGTACCCCCTCCACCCCTCCCAGTACACCCTCCACCCCTCCCAGTACACCCTCCACCCCTCCATGTACCCCCTCCACCCCTCCCAGTACACCCTCCACCCCTCCCAGTACACCCTCCACCCCTCCCAGTACACCCTCCACCCTCCCTGTACACCCCTCCACCCCTCCCTGTACACCCCTCCACCCCTCCCAGTACACCCCTCCACCCCTCCCAGTACCCCCTCCACCCCTCCAGTACACCCTCCACCCCTCCCAGTACCCCCTCCACCCCTCCCAGTACACCCTCCACCCCTCCCAGTACACCCTACACCCCTCCCGCCCAGCTGGTGAAGCTCCCTTTGACACCTTGCCGCCCAGCTGGTGAAGCTCCCTTTGACACCGTGCCGCCAGCTGGTGAAGCTCCCTTTGACACCTTGCCGCCCAGCTGGTGAAGCTCCCTTTGACACCATGCCGCGCAGCTGGTGGAGCTCCCTTTGACACCTTGCCGCCCAGCTGGTGAAGCTCCCTTTGACACCATGCCGCCGAGCTGGTGGAGCTCCCTTTGACACCTTGCCGTCCAGCTGGTGAAGCTCCCTTTGACACCTTGCCACCCAGCTGGTGAAGCTCCCTTTGACACCATGCCGTCCAGCTGGTGGGACTTCCTTTGCTCTCTAGTGACGAGCTCCTGGACTAATGATAACTGCTCACACATTAAGTTATTAAGACTGGAGCGACCATACCATAGGGCAGCGGCCGCCAACCTTCAGAGCTCACGGATCACCCAGTTCATAATTATAAATCCCGTGGACCACTAGTATGAGTCCTGCGCTCCGCCAGACAAGGTATGATGGTTATTGAAGTCAAACTATTTGATGCCATTATATATAACAGTGAATATATAATAACATTATATATTCATTATATATAACAGGGTGTGTGTGCGCGTGTGCGTGCGTGTGTTTCCTAGGTAGGGTGTGGTCCCAGCGCGATCTCAAGTCTCTGTGACGACGCTTGGTCCGTCCTGGACCATTATTGAGTCGATTGTCACTCTTGTCGATTCCTGTTCCTATTTTGTATGTAGTGATCATTTCTCCTCTTTGTCTCCGATTGTTCCAGCTGTGGCATATTCATCGGCTCTAGCCTCTCGTCGTGGCTCATGTTGGAATCTTATTAAGGTAGAGATCCCAACATTACTGAGAGAGAGATCCCAACATTACCTAGAGAGAGATCCCAACATTACTAGAGAGAGATCCCAACATTACAGAGAGAGATCCCAACATTACTGAGAGAGATCCCAACATTACAGAGAGAGATCCCAACATTACAGAGAGAGATCCCAACATTACCTAGAGAGAGATCCCAACATTACTGAGAGAGAGATCCCAACATTACTGAGAGAGAGATCCCAACATTACTGAGAGAGAGATCCCAACATTACTGAGAGAGAGATCCCAACATTACTGAGAGAGAGATCCCAACATTACTGAGAGAGAGATCCCAACATTACTGAGAGAGAGATCCCAACATTACTGAGAGAGAGATCCCAACATTACTGAGAGAGAGATCCCAACATTACTGAGAGAGAGATCCCAACATTACTGAGAGAGAGATCCCAACATTACTGAGAGAGAGATCCCAACATTACTGAGAGAGAGATCCCAACATTACTGAGAGAGAGATCCCAACATTACTGAG